TCTCCCCTCTGTCGCCGAAGTCGTCCTTGTAGTAGAGAAGCTGACGGTGCTTGATGTAGGTGGCTTGGGCGTCGGTGAGAGGTCCATTGTGCGAGATTGCTGCGGAGGCACAGAGAGTGTGTGGTACTAGGAAGAGGAAGAAGAAGAGGAAGAGAAGAGAGAGTGAGACGTGGGAAAAGGTTTTCTTCCTCATCTCACATGCGGCATCTGATGCATCCACAAATGCAAATGCAAATGCAAATTGAGATCTGCTACTGCTAGGGTAAGAGAAAGAGAAAGAGTGTGTGTTGTGTAGGCTAGGGATTTTGGAACTGTGTGTGGCGTGGAGGAGCGTATATGAGAGAGTGGGGATGAAATAATGCATCAAAACGACAGCTATATCACAGCTCTAACCCCACCAGATTCTCTATCCCTCTTCCTTCCTTACTCGCTTTCTTTCTTTTTTTATTTAATCTATACTTTCAAATATTACGTGTCTTTTCTTTCTCGACCAGGCACTAGAAAATATTATTTTTGGGATGACTATACATATATGATGTTCTATTTTGTATTTAAGAAATTTAGTTATTTTTATTCTTATCTATACCTGTATGTATGAGTTATCCAACTTAATATTTTTCTTAATTCACTCACTAGTAATAGTGCGATTCTACTAAGTGTAAAGATCATAGCGGGTCGTTACAAAAATAAAACATTACCTCTTAAATTGTCTCCCTCAAGAATAGGTGAAGGTTGGTTGAAGTGGAAGTAAATTAATTTTACTGGCACTCTATTTCTCTACTCTCTCATCCACAGCAGAGCGCCAAAGCTCATACAAGCCACCACATCTACACACTCAACCTCTCAATTGCTCACTTTGCCTCCATTTTTTTTTTATCACTGTAGCATTTCATGTTGCACAATAATTCCAAAAAATTATGACACTCTTCACTTATTTGTTATTTTTGGAAAATAAGAAAATTTTGATTTTAATTCTATATTCTTTTTTCATCTTCATAAAATTTATAATTATTAATTTCGGTCCACGCTATTATATTATATTTTTTTATATATAATTTTTTATTAAAAATTAAATAATCAACACAAATATTATTTATAACTGTTAATAAATTAACGTGTGATACTTATAATTTTTTATTATAAATTTTTAAAATAAATATTATTTATCTTAAAATTATCGTTAAAAATAATTATAGATTTTAGAATGATGATAATAAAAAAAATATTTTACAAAAAATTAAATTCAAAATTTATTTATTTTATACTAAAAATAACGAATGTAAATTTTAAAATTTATCCTAATCTCAGCACTTTTGTCTTTACTGATCGTGCATGAAATAAAAAATGTTTATTATAGTTTTTTATTCGAAAAAAGGCTTATTATATTTACTTTTGTGGTTTTACTTTTACATCACAAGGCATTTATTTGGGATGCCATACCGGCGAAAGTAGCCTATGATAACATTTCTACTTGGTTGGTGTATGCTATTGATAGAGACTTGAAGTTACATGACATTTTTTTTAGAAATAATAAATAGATGAGTCTTCTTTTATTTAATCTATCATAATCAAATTTAGTATTAAAAATTTATTAATTGTGTTAAATAAGTTTTTAGTTGCACAATTTTTTAAGAGTTCTATTTTTAGTTTATTTTAAAAAAAATTTGTCAACTTTTAATTTTTTATTAATTTTTTACATATGTTAATTCTTACAATTGAGTTTCTTATTTTAAATAATGATGTTTATCAATAAATTATAGTTGATTCAACTATTGATGTTTATGTAGTTATTTGATAGATATCAAATTATATAATATGTGTAATTTTTTTTTTTTCTTAGTCATACATTTAAAAAAAAAAAAAAAAAAAGACGTTATTAAAACAACTCTTCACCATGATTTAATATTATTAGATAGTTATTTGAACATTAATAGTTGAATTAGTTAAAATTTATATAATACATCATCATTTAGCATAATAGACTTTAATTATAAAGACTAATTTATATGTAACTAAAAATTGAATTCTTAAAAGTTTAGAAATTAAAAACTTATTTGACCTGAATTTATTTATAACAATTCATACATTTTATTATGTTTAGTTCAACTAGACTTTATAAATATATTATAAAAATAATTATTTGTTACATTTGAAAATTATGATATGAGTTAAAGTCATTTTCAATCTAAACAAAAATGTAATGATATTTTATTAAGTAAGTATTTTTGTTGAGGATTAATTTTTGTTAAAAATTTAGTCAATTATCTTTAACAGAATCTCTTATTTAAATCACATTTTTTATATGTAAAATTCGAACCTCATTTATTTGCTTATCACTTAGATGATCAATAAGTAAGTTATTGAAAAACATGTAACCAAATGGCAATACCTTGTCGTTTCATTGAAAACACTGTGACCACAAATTGTTTTCCCCTTTTGGGGTTTATATATTTTTGTTTGGCATACTTATTGTGATCGATATTCTTGCGTATTTTAATCTGATTGAGAATATATAAAAGTGCCAGGTGTGCAATCAGCCATATGAAAGCATGAACTTCCCACGTGCTCACCCTCTCATCCATTCCCATGTTCTTTCCATTTGATTCCTCATCCAATTGGGTTTGGGTCCCCTCACTCAATAATTAATATTACTTTATTCCTTAATTAATCCCCTAATTTATTAGTTATAAATATATAATTAAAGTGAAACAATCTAGTTTTTTGTAGTCAGAAACAATCTAGTCAAGTATACATTATAATCAAGTTTAAATTACACAAAAAAATGTATATTAGGAACTCAATCTATTAAAAGAAGTTGTTATTTCTTTACTCAATATCTGCAAGTCAAGCTAAACATTAATTAGCTAAAACCAATCAGTAAATATATATAAATAGGCAAAGTTTTAAAAAAATTAAATAAATAAATAATCAATAGTTCGGACAAAAACTATTTAATGTTGAGAGTAAAACTTACTTTTAGAATATTTATTTTCATAAGTAAGAAGGACTAATTTGTAGATAGTTACATCATTATTATATGACTGTGGATATGAAAGTCGAAGAGACAAATTTGACTTGAGTGGTCTCTACACCTCAAAGAAAGGAATTAGTCTTTGAAAAATATCCTTATTTCAAAAGTAAAAAGAATATTTTATTTTATTCTCTCTCACACAAAACATTTTAATCCTACATTCGGATGTGTATATAACAAATAGACTGCATCAAAGCTTATTGTTCTCTTTGTGGTCCATTTGATGATGACATGAATATAATATAACATGATAAGATAATTTTTATCATGTTATAATCCGTGGTTTATTAGTGTTTAGCTAGAGTGCTTCTCATATTTTTAAAAATCAATATCAATACTTTGTTTATACAAAAATCTATAAAGGTAACTTTCATATTTATTAATATTTAAAGAAGTTTAAGAATGATCAAATATAAAAGATGATGTACCTTCAAATTTAAATAAAATCATTCAAATTATAAAAGTGTGTAAATAGATTAAAAGAAACTTTTAATTATTTTAATGTTTTAAATAGATAAAAAAATATATGGATAATACTAAGTAGGATAAATTTAAATTTTTATTGTTAAGAAACTTTATTTTATTAATAAATTTCTGATTAAATTACACTTTTAGTTTCTTTATTTTTGTCAATCTGTAATTTTAGTTCCTTTATTTTAAAATAAAGATATTTAGTCATCTTATTTTTAAAAATATGAAATTTTAGTTATACTATCAATTTGATATTTTTTAATGTTAAATTTTGACATTTTTCAATAGCATATCACCATATTGATGTGATTTGTATAAATAAAAATTAAAAAATTTAAAATAACGTACAATAAAATCTTGATTTGTATAGTTTAACAAGTGATTGACATTTATTGGATTTATTTATTTATTTTAATAAGCAACATTTATTTTATTAATAAATCTTTTATATATATATATAGTTTTTTATCTCCAAATTCATATTAATACATAACACATTATTTAAGTATAAATAGATATTAAAATTTAATAATTAATAAATATTAATTTAATGAAAAGATTAAAATTTTATATTTTTAAATTAAAAATATCAAATATCTCTATTTTAAAATAGAAAGACTAAAATTGTGGATTGAAAAAAATAATCAAAAGTGAAATCTAACCTACATTTTTATAATTTAAAATTAAATTACAATAAAAATTCACGCAATTTTTTTTTTCTTTTCTGATCTAAGGGATTGTGTATGAAAGTTATGCTCAAAAGAAAGAAAAGAAAGCTACTCTAATTAAGTACAATTTTTCTCGTACCGGTACAAACTGTTTTATTAAGTAATTAATTATATTCTTAAATCATTACCTTCTTTCTTAAATAATATTTGAACCCCAAGCGTGTGGTTCAGCGGTAGGGGTTGATCCACGCTTAAGCAAGGTCAGGGGTTCGAATCCTGCCTTGTGTATGCAGCTGCGTTAAATCTTGGGGCCAGCTATCCCACCCTTTGAGGTGCCTCTAACATAGCGAGAAGATTAGTCACTTGTGTATGCAGTCGCGTTAAATCTTGGGGCCAACTATCCCACCCTTTGAGCCCGCGTTAAATCTTGGGGCCAGCTATAGCGAGAAGATTAGTCACCACAGGAACGAACCTAAAATAATATTTAAAATTAAAAATAAATTATATGAATAATTTCCTGAGCATTAGAAATCATACTAAAGTATTTCTCAAATATTAAAAAATCTTCCAAATGAATCTTGAACCACATTAAAATACATGAATTCAAGGACTAAAGTGATGAATATTTAATACTTAAAGATTAGGTATATACTTTTATTACTTTAAGACAAATTAAAAAGGGGAAAAAAATCAAGTTGTTTTCTCTTCTATTTATTTTATTTTTATTTTATTTTATAATAATTAGCCATTGGATTCCTCATTATTTTAGTATTCTTCATATTATTTTATCTCTATCCCATCCAAAGATGGATAAAGGGTGGATAGATCTTATAATCATGTAAAACCATATCATGATAATTAAATATATAAAAGGGTCCATCCTAGCCAGCCTTGGAGCGTTTTATTCTATGTAAAGGAAGATCCTAGTCCACCAACAAGTTGAACCTCCATCAACCATGGCATCTCAAGCCAAGGGCAACAACAAGCTCACCGTTTCCACATCACCAAAGAGCGACGGCGTGGCGGGGTCATTGGCCAAAGGGCAGTGCTTGTGCTCCCCAACCACACATGAAGGCTCCTTCCGCTGTCGTTTGCATCGTGGCCCTACCTCCTCCCCAACTAATTGGATGAAACGCTCCAAGTCCATGCCTGCTAATAAGCATCTTGTTTCTGATTCCACATGCTGATCGATGCTCATCATCATAACACAAATCCTATATATATATATATATATATATATA